AGACTTCTATTCAACTAGATATGCGTGATTCAGAGCAATAGACCGAGTTGCGATGACAATGCTGGTTGATGGTCCATCTATGAGAGGCACAGTATGTTAATTATGTGACACCGCCCATCTTTTGATGTGAGCGATACTTGAAAGATCATTGAAGATCGTCGAGAGATTGGAAGTGAGTAGTTTGTAAAAATCCATGCCATACTACATGCGGCAGTTACAGTGGAATATGGTAGTCTCTCACACGTACATTGTCCAGGAATATAGCGCGAGATGTGAGATAACTAGTATTCGATCGGTTTAGTACATCGAACTATGTAATACAGACGAAAAAACTAAAAAAAAATATCACTTGGGTACGCTTCATCGGTATCTCGATGCATTTTCTTTCTTTAAAAATGTGAGAGGAGTATCACCGCTCATCAACCACAATCCATTTTCGCAAGTACACAGTAGGGTCTTGGAGTAACGCTAGATCAAATTTCCGAATTGGCCGATGACCTCGTCTAGAAATTCGACCGTTGTCTATCGCAGGGACGAAACACGGCTAATTCTCGGCTAGCGTCATTGGCGAGGGAGAGGAAATTTAACGACCTGACCCTTTGATCACATGTGTCGACGATGGGATGTGTGCTCTACTTTTTGATTATGGCTTCTCGTACAGCCCAAGCTCAATATTGCCTGACGGACAATTTCGCGAGACCTTTGAAGGGATCGAGCCATTTCAGAAGTGCGATAGATGCAAAGTTTGCTACTGATTTCCAAAACTTGTCACTTAATCCCGAAAGGACTATTTCGTCATCTCTTACTTTACTTGACAGAATTGCCAGTCAGGTTGCCTGGCGGCGCTACCACCGGCAGGAGCGTTATTTGCTGAGCGAGAAAAAGCATTTGTTGCCAAAACGCGAGCTCTCTACAGACTGACTAGTGTGCAAGTCGCCGACTTGATCGATGTCGAATAATGGAATGCTTTTAACCACCTCGAAACCGATTATGCCATATACACCTCAGAGGTCCCATTTCTACGGCGATGGTAAATACTTCTAAATCGGTAGGAGTGTGAACAAATGTGCCTATCTCGGAGACGTAGATCATTTACTATGCTGTATGCTACGGTTACAATTGATGGTTATGTAGGCATGAATCAACACGTCTTGGATACTCACAAAATCCTTGCGCAGGTACCATACTTGATCTTCTTTGTTCCTCTATGGACCACTTGTGTATCCCTACAGCCTTCGTAATTTTTGAAGGGAGACAAGATGCAAGTCTGAACCTTGCGCCTCCTCCATGGTGGAGAAAGTTTTATTTAATCACATGTAGATCTATCTGCTTCTGGTTTTTCTCGATATGAAACGATCATAAAGACTACTTCTTCAGGTGTGTTTGTAAGTATAGCTAGACTTCAAATCTCTATGGGACAAAAATTTACAGCTTTTTTTAGGTGCGAGATGCCAAGATGAAATGACAGAGCTCCAGGGAAAAGCTCTCGGCTAAGTTGGCTGGTTACAAAAGCCCGAGAATGCCTAGCAGCGCCTTTTGAATCTCAGATGCAAGCGGCCACTACAATCAAATAGGCCTGCATATGGAGCTCGCACAGTTTGAAGCAGATGCCCTAATAGATTCTTTGCGAGCCATTTCCACACGGCGCGTGGTCCGATAGCTTGCCACCGCTAGCTTCGATTCATGGTACCTTCGCCCGAGTTTGCAAACAAAAATATAGACCTTGCAGGGGCACTGCGCTACTCCTAAAAGGTTTCGCTCACTCTACGAAAGCACGTGGGCGAGTTTTGAACTCATTCTTTTTTTGCGACGATACAAATGTAATCGTTCGTTGTCTCTTTGCCGGGGCAATATCTGATTTTTCAAAGGAAACAGCCTGTTCTCGAAAGATAACTGCTGGACTATCCTCTGTGGGTATCTAGGCGAGCTGCGATTGATGCCTTTTGGATTAGACTTCATTCACACGAGATCGATCGCAAGTTGGTATTTGAAAGCTCTGTTTTCTCTCTTCGGCCCGCCTCATCCCGCCTCGTCCCGGAACTCAGAGGTTTAGGGCGGTCTATGGTCTATTTGAAAAACGCTGCTTAGATCGACAGGGATCAAGGAAAGTGGAGGGCTTAATATCATTTGACATGAGGCAGGTGCAAATCATGAACAAAGCCATACCACCGGGAATGATTCTCGAAGCGCCTACATGAACAAGCAAGACGATTGAAATCCCACGTGAAGCACAGGCTGTGTACGTATCTTCATAAACTGCGTTCCGTGATCGAGACGATGGTAGATCATGACTTGCAATGCTCATGATCATTGTAAAACTACATAAGCTGGGAGAACTAGGCCATGTAGGCTTAAGGCTGGTAACGAACGAGAAGCAGCACGTAGTAGATAGTTAACCCCGTGCATTCAGACCCTTTTTTCTCTCTGCCGGGTGTAGCTCTCTAAAAGATCAGCATCGACTGGCAGCCTTCTTATGACTGGTGAGCGAAGACGAGGGCGGGGTTGTAGGAAGAATGAGGGAAAAGAGGCAAAATGTGGCTGACGGGAGAGGTGGACCGCTGGCAATGTGGAGGCATAGCTGATTTCAAACCCTACGGCATGTTCTATTCTAAAATTTCATCTGATCTATTTGAGCGATCTCAGAAAGTCAAGATCAGGACCTTTTCGGAAGAAGTTCGAAGGTTCTTTTTGCCCTTCATAGTGTTAAAGCTGGAAGAACCATCCAGCGGTGAACCCCACGGTTTTCACCCTACGGCGTTTAGTATATAAATAAAGATAAATCGAGCGAAACAGGCGAGATTTGGGAGTGCTTCGATCAATGAATCTCGTCATAGAAGTTGGTCAACGATTTTCTGCCACAGAAAATCCACCTAGGGGACTATTTACCCAATCGAATACCCGTTGTCTGATGTGCCGCCATACTCCACCACCACAGCAAGGGACCTTGTAATAGGTCGGATCATAGGAATAGACAAGTGCTTCATTGTTTCTTCGATACTATAGCGATTAGCATTTTAATTGTTTGCCGAGCTCAAAGCAAGAGGTGTCACTACACGTTCCATCTGACTGGATCATGAACCAGCTTAGCCGAAGAATTTAAATAAGTGAGACATTATTTTTATGTCGAAACAACGAAATTAAATCAGAATGTTCCGATTTGGGCATTGTATAAGAGCATGTGCATAGACCTAGTGGGAAGTGGTCAAGGCCGAACCCTTGGCCACTGGCGTCAAACTACTTAAGATCTCTTATATATAGCCCTGGCACATCCCTTCATCTCTGCGATCGAGATCTTCTCAAACCAGCCCATAGATAAAATTTCGATCATAACTCATATTTAAAATTAATTCGTCACCAGATCGTACGAATAAAGGACAAATTTGATGCTGGCATGCAATATCCTTCGTGGCTGGCAACATTCCGAACATTCCCAAAGCGCGCTAAACTACACCCATCCCTTCCCAGCCATCATGCCTAGGCCACTCCAGGCTTGCGTTTCATATTTCCAATGGCTTGAGGCCTCCTATCCGACCATATGTAATGAACACATTCTACGGAAAATCCAAGCTTGATATTATGCAGAATTGTATGCCCCGCCCTTTCCCACAGCCTACGTCTGGAATGAAGCCATCGTGATGAAAGATCCCGATCGTCCCGATTTCCAGTCTGGTTGGTATATGAGGGCAAGAACCGCCGATGCGAGTTCTTCTGATTGAACATCGAGCTTTCACATCGTCAGCTGTGGTCACCACCAGATACTGCTTACTGGGTTCAAATACCTTTTGCGGAAGACTAGCACTAAACCAGCAAAGACACCCGACTTACCATCATGTCGGACTTCAAGGCCGTATTCCAGACAGTGACGGTTTTCGTCGCATTTATACTCACCCTTCTGTGTCTCTTCGCAGGGACGCAGAGGAATTTGCTTGAGGATGTGGATCTCTTGACGGTAAGTCCGATCGTCTCCAATCTACCCTCTCAAGGTGGCAGGTAGATGCAGAAGACTAACATGGCCGCGATTATCCATTTAGCTTTACACACCCGCAGTCAGCACCGATAGTGGAGCCCACGATTTCTATTCCATCCATGTACTATCCTACTGCCAGGGAACACTGAAGACAATGGACCCCAGCGCGGAAGTCACGCATAACGTGACCAAATGCTCCAACCGCACGATACTTTCCTCGTTTGACCCAACCCAATCTTGGCCGAAAGAGATCACGTCCAGCCAGCAGCTGGGGTGGCCGCGTGTAATCGGCGATGACTTCCACGCCTTCAAAATGACGAGTCAAGTCATGGCCTTGATGTACTGTATCGGAGTTGGTGCGATGGGGCTTGTTCTACTTGTACGAGTATGGTCGACTCTTGCTCCGAAAGCGTGCCAGGGCCCATGTGAATTTTCGTTTTTCGTGGTGAGTGGCACATACCCGAACACGATCTGGTGATGGAGTTACCCCCCTACATAAACTCTGTCCTGCATGTCGTTTATGCAGGCAGTGGACTTCCAATTTGAGCGTAGTGCATTTCACATTTCCCCGGAATACCAGAACTCGCTGACATGGATCCCTTTAGCTTGGATCTTTCAGCATCAGCATCGCATCTATCATCGCAACCGCTCTCGCTTTTGAATTCGTTGCTCTTATTAATGCTCACGGGAAGGGCTCGAGCGTGTCAGCCCGTTACGGTGATAAATTCCTCGGGATGACTTGGGCCGCGGTGGGGCTCATGCTCGCCGGTAGCGTTGCTAGCTTTGCGAATGCCTTCGTTAACAAACAGGCTGCGCCTGCGTCAGTCTCAAAGGATGTAGAGGGGTAATCAGCACCGAAATGAGAAATTAGGGAGCGGTGAAGTTAGCCAGTCGGAGAGCGCAGGTTTCAGACGGGGGGCGGATGTCGGGGAAACTCGCAAAATCAAATATAATCCCATCCCATAGTAGATAAAGAGCCATTTATGAAACGAACGATACTACCTTCCAATTTCCAAATGCCCGTAACCAAAAGAGAATAGTGTTCAATCTAACTAGGAACGGTTTCACGTGAAATCGCAAAGTTGCCAATCCGGCCACTTTCTTCGGGTTCTCTGAGGGTTAGGGTTCTTGACCGGGGCCCGGGGGTACCGCGAGAGTTAGGGGTTTTTCCCCCTAACCTTCAGGGGCTACGGTGTGTTGGGCCGTACAAACCAGGTAGCACTCCAGCCCGCACTCTAGCCCCATAGGGGCTAGAGTGCTGGGGCATGGAAGGTAGTAGATGCACTTGGAATGAAGACCTCGCCTGAAGATGGTGTGGGCAACTAATGGGGAAAAAAATGGGTCGGGTCTATCAACCGTTCATCCGACGTCATATGTGGATATGTGGATATCGGTCTTGAGGGTCTATGAGTTGTGAGTAGTCTCGAATATTCTTGAAATCACCATATAATTTTAACCTCAATCCAATCACCTTGGTGCATTCCGTACAATGGCTCAGACTCCCAGGACCACTGTACTCCGTAAAGATCTTCCCGGTTTGTCGGCTGATTTTCTCCGATGTCTACAATTTGCCAAGATTCTTGTCAAAGCGCGAAGTATTGATATGGGCTTCCCCGGTGATGCTCTCTTTGTTTTGCCGGTGAGTGAGTGGTTCAGGCCCTGTGAGTCCTGTGAGTGCACATGAAAAGAAACCTATTAGTTACTTGACTAGGAATAGTGTGTTTGTAGTCTGTCCCTACTGCGCGGTAATTGTTGAAGTATGAGGGTTGCACGGACATTCAAGCGGGGAGAAAGAGAAGGGTAACATCTTCTCGGATCAATAGGGAATACTAGAATTAAAGCAAAATAGTGGAGCAGCATAGAATGCAGGACAGTCAATGTTATGACTGGTTGAAAACAAGGCGGAGGCCAGTCCCGTTGCCCAGATATCTATGAAGTCATCGTCAGATTGACCTTGGAACAAGCATAATCCCAACTGTAAGGAGATACTTTCCTGACCCCTCTTTCCTTAAATAGTTGCTCTTTCCCCCATTGGACTGGAAAGTGCAACTTACGCGACTTCCTCTTTAGTTTCCTTGTCTACTTCCACTTCCACTTCCACCTCCACCTCCTCTCCTTCGACCTCCACTTCCACTTTTACCTCTACCTCTACCTCTACCTCTACTACCTTTATCTCTACTTTCTTTCCTTCCAATTCCTACTCTTTCTCAAAACACAATGGAAAAGAAAGCTATTCACTTCGGTGGTGGAAACATCGGCCGTGGCTTCGTCGCCGAGTTCCTCCACACTGCTGGCTTTGAAGTCGTCTTCGTTGATGTCATGGACAGCATCATCACCGCCCTACAAAACACCAAGTCCTATCAGGTTACTGAAGTCAGTGACGAGGGCCAATCGACCAAGACAATTACCAATTACCGTGCAATCAACTCCAAGACCCATGAGAGTGAAGTCGTCCACGAGATCTCAACCGCCGCTATTGTGACCTGCGCGGTGGGCCCGAACATCCTCAAGTTCATCGCTCCCGTAATTGCCAAGGGAATCGATGCCCGCACCGATGCCACACCCTTGGCTGTTGTTGCCTGTGAGAATGCCATCGGTGCCACTGATACTCTACATCAGTTTATCAAGGACAACACCGCCCAAGATCGTGTCGGCTCTATGCCAGATCGAGCCCGGTTTGCCAACTCGGCCATTGACCGTATTGTACCTGGCCAAGCCGCCGACAGCGGTCTTAACGTGCGCATCGAGAAGTTTTACGAATGGGCCGTGGAGTCAACACCTTTCGGCGAGTTTGGTCATCCAAAAATCCCGGCCATCCACTGGGTTAGTGACTTGGAGCCCTACATTGAGCGCAAGTTGTTCACCGTCAACACCGGTCACGCCACTGCAGCCTACTATGGCTACAATGCCGGCAAGAAGACCATTGCCGAAGCCCTCCAGGATGCTCGCATCCGTGGCATTGTCCGTGATGTGCTTCAAGAAACTGCGTCCCTCATCATCGACAAGCATGAAATCAGTGCTGCCGAGCAGCAGGAGTATGTTGAGACCATCATCACCCGAATCTCGAACCCCTACCTCGAAGACACCGTGGAGCGTGTGGGTCGTGCTCCACTGCGCAAAGTATCCCGCAAGGAGCGATTCATCGGCCCGGCTGCGCAGCTGGCTGAGCGTGGTGGAAAATTCGAGTCACTGATGGGCTCCTTTGAAATGGCTCTGCGGTTCCAGAATGTGGAAGGTGATGAGGAGAGCGTAGAACTGGCCAAGGTCCTCAAGGAGCACTCGCCTGCCGAAGCTGCTGTCCGATTGACCGGCTTGGACCGAGACCACCCCCTCTTTCCCCATGTGGTCAAGATCGTGGACGGCGTACAATCCGACGCGAAGTAGGGCACCTCTTCCTAACGCCAGCCTCACACCTTCCTAACATCGCTTTTTATCAGAGAGGCAAGGCAATCGTGCGTTTGATTTCGCTTTGTCTGAAATTCAACTTGCATGGAATATCGCGAATACCAGATATACGGCGTGAGGGGAGTAATGGGATCAGGGGGTTTTTTTTTATGAATTTTACGAACTGTAGTATGAATAGCGAATGAATCATCATATCTGTGTCAATTTTTCTCTCTGCAAAGTAATTTCACAATTTACTATCAACCCAAACAGGCTTCCTCTTCTCCACAAAAGCCTTGAGGCCTTCCTTGATATTTTCCCCCTCATACAACCTTTTTACCCAAGTCTCATTCAACATTGTCGTAGCCTCATCCGCCCCAATCCCCTCCCACCCCAACTTCACCCCTTCCCGACTCACAAGCACCGAGTCAGGACTATTCCCCGTAATCTCCCCAGCAACCTCCAAAGCCTTCCCCAGGACAGCCCGACCTATTGCCTCCTCTGCATCCCCCTCTCCAACTCCAACAACAGAATTTACAAGTCCCCATCTCTCAGCTTCAGCGGCCCCAATCATCCGCCCCGTAAGAACCATCTCCATAGCCCGTTGCTTGCCAACAGTCCGAACAAGTCGCGGTAATGCTCCAGCAAGAGCAACAACCCCGCGCTTCACCTCCGGCAACCCGAATACCGCTCGCGATGACGCAATCACAATATCGCTGTTGATGACCATCTCCGCGCCGCCGCCGAGACAGAGTCCATTCACCGCACAGATCACGGGTTTCTTGCCCTTTCGTCGGGCAAGTCCACCGAATCCGCTGTTTGGCATTGGGGTTGTCGAGTTTGAGGTTGTCGCTGCTGTCGAGGTGCGATTGTTCCATTCTGGGAGCGGAGTTAGCGGGGTTTGAGTAGAAACAATTTTTTTTTAAAAAAAATGAACTGGAGCTTTGGGTTTTTTGGAGGGGGGGAGGAATTGGGTTGATTGTGTACGCTTTTGTAGACTAGCTAACTAGCTAATGGCTGTGCTGGCTGTGAATGGCTTGCTATCTCACCTTTAAGATCAGCGCCGGCGCAAAATGCCCGTCCCTTTCCGGTTAGAATGCCGACCCGCATGCTCGGCTCTTCATCGAGCCATTCCCAGACTGCGTGGAGGTCTGCGTGGCCTTGGGCGTTTATGCAGTTTAGATCGCGGGGTCGATTTAGTGTGACGAGGAGGATGTGGGGTGCTGGATAGGTGAGGGTTGCGTGGGCTGGGGTTGGGGGTTGGATTGCGAAAGGTGGCATTTTGGTTTCTTGTGACTTTTGCTGCGAGTGTAATTTTGATTGAGAAGAGGTATGGGAGGGGGGTATAGAGTATAGGAAATGGTGCAGAAAAATAGAGGTGATCACCGTCAGTTGGGGTCACTCACAGATGCGGAGAAGCTACCCATGCCGAGGACCGAGTGTGGGGGTGATTACTGCATCACACTTCGTTGGAGATGGCTTTGGAAGTGAAATTGATTGACTCTATTCTTTAGGTCAAGTAGAAAAAAGGTCTGTAGGTTGCTGTTCATTGTACAATTGTGCGAATTACAGGCAATATTCTGCCCGTGACTTGTGTTGACAAATTCTGAATTCAACACATCCGCCCGTCTCCCAGGTACCCTGTGAACGCCAAAGAAGAAACGCCCCTGTAAAAAAAAAAAACCAACAAGATTTGGATATCAATAAGTTAAGAAAGCGATAACGGCATATAATGGATCGGGCGCGCCTAAGCCTTGTTGATCCAACCGCTGTGTACCATGAAATCATAAATGCGGCTGGTTTTAGTGCCCTCAATCTAACACAGTCAACAAGAAATTCGTGTTTCAGGAGTAGAATGAGAAACATACCTTGCAAACTATCCGGGCATCTTTCTTCTTCAGATTGCCGCCCTGCTTCATTGCTTCCTTCAACAGTGTCTCCTTGATGACTAGATACGGCTTCGGCATCAGACGTAAAACATTGCATACCTCTGCCTCTTCTTTGGTTAGGAGATGCAAGTCGGCAGCAGTTTCATTGTCCAATTTCCACGACGGCATCCCGCTTAGTGGCGGGACCACGTATTTCGTCTTTGTCGGCTGCGGGGGAGGCGCATCGCCGTCGACAGCGAAGGCGCGATCGAAATCATTCAACGGTTCATCGGCAGGATCTGCCGGTGCATGTGGATTGGCGGCTTTTTGCAGTCGCAGCGGTAATTCAGGGGTTGTAAGCTGGATTGCGGCCGCTGGTGTCTCTGTCAGCTGTGCCTGCTTAGGGCGGGTGCTGGCAAAGCGGTCGAATGACCCTTGGGGAAGCATTCGCTGCATGCGTTGTTGCTTATCCTGCTCGAACTTCTCGCCTGCTTTCAAGTCACCGATGCCCATCTGTCGCCATTCTTGAAGTTGGGAGATGGCCAGGCGGAGATTGTGCTCGTATTCCAGACCTTTGTTGACGTCTTCGAAATCCTTGCAGTTCATCATCCGTGCTAGTGGCTTTGCTTTGTTCAACAAATCGCGCTCTTCCTTGGATCGTTTCTTATCCAAGGCGGTGTTCTTTCGATATTCGAGAAGGTTGTGTTCGAAAAGGATCTTCTTGCGTTCCGTACGCGCCGTTAGGCGAGAGTTGTAAATATCAACTACAGTCATCTTGAGCTCGGTCTCTGCATCTGGCTCGCCGTTCTCATTGAGTCCAGCCCCGGGCTCAAAAGTCATGTGCTGCACCGCTTCTTCGGCGTCGTTCAGGAATTCGGTCTCAAATTCCAATCGCCCCGGCATGTAGCCCTGAACTTCGTGGCACGCCGGTACACTAGCAGTTGGCTTCTGCTTTGGTGTGGTTGGAGGCGCCGCTTTGGCCGCATCTTTGCGTTCTTCGATGCGACGCTTCTTGCGTGCTTGGAAGTCCTCTTTAGAGATCGAATCTTGCAAGCTTCTATCATCTGGATCGGCACGGTTTGCGAGTGGGAAGTTCACGCTCTTCACATATGTATCATAGTAGTGGTCTCGTACTTCATCTTTGCTCCGGTAGCCGCCAATGTGGTCTGCAATGTCTGCCCAGGAACCCAACCCATAAATTTCGGCGCCTTCCAGCAATAACAATTCTTCGTCAGCACCCCAGTCCTCTTGGAATATGGGGACTGAATTTTGTTCGATCACTTGGAATGGATGTGTGGCGGGGTCATGGTTCTTGGAGTTCTTTCCGGCTGAGAAGCAGGGGACACAGAGGTCATATTCGGGGCAGGAGGGATGCGAACACGAGATGCGAACCTATGCGATGAAATCGCGTTAGTCTTTGAAGAAGAACACAGATCTTCAAGCGATCATGCCACAAGCAAGTCAAGACTCACTGTTGACGTAACATCAATAGAGCACACATCGCAGTGGAACTTGGTGCCGGCCTCGGTGCCGCGCGAGGCGGTCTTCTTGCGTATTACACCCATTGGCCCTCCACCCCTTTCATCATCTGGTACGTCGAGTACCGTATCGAGAGCAACAGATTCTGAAGTCTGGAAATACTGGAGTTGCAGGTGACAAGTTGAGGTGAGATCTTCCGGGGTAGGTGTCTCCGCACTTCGGAGCGGGGAATATTCCGAAGCTTGAAAGAATATGTGAATTGATAACAGCTACAGTCTAAGCTGAATCTCAAACTCTCCCGTTTTGTGGAGTCAACTGCTTTGATTGTTAAAGCTGCGGTGGAAGTTGATGCGTCGTTAACCCTTGTGGCGGAGCAGTGGCTGAGGCTGATTAATTACAGTACCTCTGTGTGACTCACTAATAAACTGTCTGACCAATAATGTCAGTAATCTTTAGTAATCTATAGTAATCTACGTATTCTAATTACAGGGGGGACTTCCCCTCTCTCATTCTCATTTGATCTTGAATCTCCCCGTCTCTTTCTTACCTTTAGTCGTGCTTCCATACGGATTTCAAAAGCTATAGTGGTGGTTGTCTTTGTCTTGACTTCTCTCCTTTTGCGTTTGGATTATCCGTGACCTTGTGTGGCTCTCCAGGTTTGTTTTGGGGTCCAGTCGCATGTTGATTAATGGGTGATTCTTTAGCACCCTGTACACGCATTGCGGTATCTTGAACTTTTGATCTCTTCTTCTCGATCTCATTACAACAACCGCCACTATGTCCTGGAAGCTCACTAAAAGTATGTTTACTGGCAGTTGGTCTCCCTCTCTCCCCTCAATGCCCCTCTCTGCAATGCAGTGAACGCCACAGGCAGTCGCTAATTATACAACTCGTCTTAAGAGTTGAAGGAGACGCATCTGGCACCCTTGACCTCATCGTTTGGCCGGTCGTCGTCTACTTCCACTATCAAAGGTGACTCAAATGGCGATGAGGCTTTGACACCTGTGGCCTCCCACGCACCCCCCAACGCCCTGTCAACAAACGGGATCGGTATGTTGTTGCTAAATTAACAATACTAAAATCCTACTTGGTAACTAATCATTTGCTCATTTTGATAGCGGCCTCAGAGTCTCTTGTCTCTCCTCCTGTGGCGACCGTGAACCCAGGAATCCTTATTGTCACTCTCCACGAAGGGCGCAATTTTTCGCTGTCACCTCACTTCCAACAGATCTTCAATTCGCATTTCCAAAATAACTCTTACGCGTCGTCTTCTCTACGCCCAAGTACCTCTTCTTCTTCAAATTCAGCCCAGAATCAAGCGGGTTCCTTTGTATCATCCGCCCGACCGCAGTCCACAAGCGGAGGGATCAATGCGGCCCCCACTATCCACGGTCGCTATTCCACCAAATACCTTCCGTATGCCCTCCTTGATTTCGAAAAGAATCAGGTCTTTGTGGATGCCGTGTCGGGTACTCCAGAGAACCCATTGTGGGCTGGCGACAATACAGCCTTCAAGTTCGATGTGTCCCGGAAGACGGAGTTGAATGTACAGCTGTATCTACGCAACCCTACAGCCCGGCCTGGTGCCGGACGAAGTGAAGACATCTTCTTGGGTGCATGCAAGGTCAACCCTCGCTTCGAAGAAAGCCAGCC